GGATAAAAGCATGGAGAAACAATTCCTGCTCATATCTTGGTGCTACACCATTGTTTCCACAACAAACATGATCTCTGTATCTGTCTTTCAACTCTCCAGAAAGCTGTCCGCTGTCCAACACCACTTTCCCCCACGTCCTCCCTCTTCTGACTCTGATGGAGAAGAATGCGGTGGTGGGTGAGGAGGGGACAGAACTGTGGGAAACGGTGGAAGTCGGGGTGGAAGTGGTCATGTTCCACCTTGGGGCGGCGAGAACCATTGCCCAGCTAGGGGGCATCTACCGCTCTAATGCTGAGAGCAAATTACAAGGTGAGAGAGCTTTGACGAAAACAAAATGCAGTATGTCTGCTTTATAATATTAGCAAATGAAATACAAACCTTTAGAAAATTTAAACACGAAAGACCACAGGGATCCGTCTTGGGACCTGCTGTATTTACTCTCCACACAGTTGCCATTCCACTGCAGGAACTCTGATCGCATGTTAGGTGCTGCAGCTTCTTGCTGTTCTTCATGTTGTTTCTAATGTGCTTTCACTTTTTTCCCTTTCTTTTTTTTAATACTGCTTTCCTCGAGTTTTAGCAGAAAAGTAGCCTAGCATTTCTTAGCAGCCACTTAAGCATTGGTAGTCTAGAGCATGTTTTTTTTTCAATCTGGAAAAAGGCCAACACAGTGGTTCCAACCAGGTGGCAACCTGCAATAAAATATAATAAAGTCAGATTGAGGCATGCATGAAATGCATGCAAGTCAAACTACATTTGAAACCTTTTATTGAAGAGACTGGTACATGCTGCAGCATTAAATAATCTAATTATAAAAAATAATTAGGAAAAGTGCTATAATTTCCTAAATCCTGTTCTATGATCATTCTTGAGTTGATGGTTTATTTTAAGTTGAAGTTTATATTATTATTAATCAGTAATAAATAGCTTCACGCCTGGTAGGCCAAATGAACAACCGAAGGCTGTATAGTGAACTGCAAGAACTTCCTCTTTCACTTCTCCTGCAAATAAACTCTTCTTTTCTTCTTCTGCTCCTGATGGGGTCTCCATCCATCTCACCCTATGCCCATCATCCTCTGCTGTCACGCCAACTCTCTGCATGCCAAATCTTTTCTGTGGTCTTCTTCTCTTCCTCCTGCCTGGCAGCTCAACGTTCAGCATCCTTTGTCCATTACATCCACTATCCCTCCTCTACATGTCCAAATCATCTCAGTCTTGCCTCTCTAAGAAACCGCTCAACCCTGTCACTTCCAATGTCTTTGTCTTGTCTTTTTGTCAGGGGCACCGCCTCTAAACCATGCATCATAGCAGGTCTCAATACCATCTAGTAAAACTTCTCTTTGCTCTGGCTTCTGTCACACATCACCCCTCATGCTCATCCACACTCCCTCCACCCTGGCTTCACTCTCTTCTTCACCTTTCTTGTGCACTTGTCTGTTCTGATGGTTGACCTCTGATATTTAAACTCTACCTTCATTACCTCTGCTCCTTGCAGCTTCCCTGTTCATCCCTCTCATTCACACATTCTGTTCTTGTTCATGTTTGAGACAGGTCCAGTTACAGGGACGTCTGTGGTAGAAATGGTAGTCTCTGGTTCCTTTCTACACTCCTGTGCTGCTAATAATGTTAAACTGATGTGATGTTGCAGGTTTCCGGGAGCGGGCCGAAGTCCTGGAGCTTTTCCTGACTGATTTCCAGATGCGGCTGCTGTGGGGGAGCCGGGGGGCCGAGGAGCAACAGGCTCTGCGATACTCTAAGTTTGACCAGGTGCTTACCGCCCTGTCCAACAAGCTGGAGCCACCCATCAGACGACACTGACCCCAGCACTGTTTTTAGAGGCCTTGTTTATGAGCTCATGCCTACATACATGGACAATTACTGTGTTGGACACTGAGAAGCTCCTCCACTGAAAGCTCATTAAAAGGGAAAGTGCTGTGATCTTTCAAACAAGCAGGCTTCCTAAGCGTGTAGACACCAGAACGAAGCAGTGCACCCACTTAGTTCAAATCTGTCACATGTAGCAGACCGGGATACTTGAAGAGTGAGACTGCAATTTTATAAATGCTTACCTTCCCATACCAGCACTTTTCCAGTTTCTTTTGAAGCTAAACTGATGTAACTCAAGGTTGAGGAACTTTGTCTGAAAGCTTCAGCAGAATGACGACAGTTTGTGAAAGAAACCACTAAATGCTTTGATGGAGTCTCCAGAGGGTGTTTTTATTTTTGACTGAGGACTTGTACTGCTTCAACAGCGTCACAGATCAACATTGTCCTGTGTTAGTTTACCTAACAAAGGACTGTATCTACTCGAAAGTGGCACAGGATGACATGATTTGGAAGTGTAAATATGTGGTGCCCTTTAGGTTACCGAGGCTGTGCCTCAGTCTGATAGGCTCATGTTTGTAAATGTTTTAATCTCCCTAAAGGCTGGACCTTAGCTAAATCCACAAACATATGTCACATTGTAGAATGTAATAACAGAATAACTGTACATCTGCATTTCAGTTTTTGTTTAGTTTTTTGTATCTTTTCAGTAATTAGGATTTTATCATTTGAAGAGATTATTAAATGTAACCTGGGGTCAGTTCGTGTTTCCTCTTTGTTTCTTTTTCTTTTTATTATAACAATGTTACTTTTAATGTAAGGGGAGTGAACTGATCCTAACTGCACGAGTACGGCACACAGGTGCAGATCATTTTTGTAATCTTAAACAGTTTTACTTTTTATTTATCAAAAAGTGTAAATAACGTTTATTTCACTGGAGGTTGTTTTATTGAATAAAAACAGTCATGCTTGTGAGCTAGCTGGCAACTCGGGCCGCGCTGCAGCATACACACTAACATGCCTCACTTTCCCCGGGCCTTTGACATGTCGGTGCTGAAGCTTTTCTAAATCACTGCCCTACTGTTTCAACGCTTCCACCATTAAAGCTTTTACCTACAGGCTTGAGGGGGTTACCGATCACTCCCCAATGTCAGTCTGTGTGTGGCATATTTCTGTGGAGTGATGAACTTGAACATGCCAAACTCTTCCTGTATTCTTCTGCTGTGGTGAATTTACATTTCAAAGTGAATCACCTGCTTCTAAACCCAGTTACAATCAGGAAAATGAAATAAACAAAACCACTTCAGATTTTTGACACTCATTAGTTAAACTGCAGGAAAAGACATAAAGACCTGGATGACCTGTAACTTTGCGATTCTAAATTCAGATAAAACTGAGGCTATTGTAATAGGACCTAAAGTCTAATATGATGAGAAATATGATATCTTACTCTGGATGGCATTACCTTGGCCTCCAGTAACACTGTGAGGAACCTTGGAATATGTAGGACTACTTGCTACCATTTGCGCAATATCTCTAAAATACCTGTTTACTTGTAAACTTGTTATTAATTTCTGTCTCTCTTCCCAAGCATGCCTTTTGTCCTGTCTTCCTCCCCTCACCTCAATCGGTCACTGCAGATGACCCCGCCCCTCCCTGAGCCTGGTTCTGCCGGAGGTTTCTTCCTGTTAAAAGGGAGTTCTTCCTTCCCACTGTCGTGAAAGTGCTTGCTCATAGGGGGTCATATGATTGTTGGGGTTTTCTCTGTATGTATTGTAGGGACTACCTTCCAATATAAAGTGCCTTGAGGCGACTGTTGTTGTGATTTGGCGCTGTATAAATAAAATTGAATTGAATTGAATTAAAAATTCATGATTTTTCTTACAGGGTAACATGTACATAAGTACAAAAAATATACAAACAAATCATGGAAATGCATCATTAAAAATGTGTCTGTGCCAAAACCCATATATATAAACCCAGGTAGAGAACACTGAACAAAAAGTTCAAGTTTTAAGTGAAGATTCTAAATCTAAAAACTTAAGCAAAGGGAGCAACAGAATAAATTAAAAGAGCTGCAGAAGACGGAACAGAAAGGTGTAGAGATAACACATCACAAGAGAATGACAGGTCTATTTTTTACACTGTGAGCTGAACAGGGATGGGAAACAGGAGACAGCTGGAAGCAATGAAGACAATCAGTCAAAAAGTCTGAGTCAAGAAACTAGAGAAAATGATCAGAGTATAAAGGAAAACAACCCAACTACAAAGAACAGCAAGAAAACTCTCATTAAAAATGATACAGTGGAACACTGGTTAGGTGAAAAGAGTCCCTAGAGTGATAAACCAAAGACAGGAAGTCAAAACTTAAACACTAAAACGCTCAAAGCACATCCTGTGCTGAAGCAGCACCAACATTCCTTAGTCTGTTTCCCAAACCTCAAAAACATAAACCTGAGGAACTGAAGGTATACACCCAATTACCATTATTCAAGATGTTTTAAAATGTAACATTGCAAAATATTGTATTTTAGTTTGAAAAAAAAAAAAGGTTTAATCATATGCATGAAGCTTAGGTCACTGTTAATAAAACTACAAAAACAGACATCTCACTGAGGTGCATATCTGAAGTGTGCTGTCCATGACAAAAGTGAAGGAAAAAAACCCTAAACAAACAAATTAAGTTATTTTATTTTTTTCTGGAACATAAGCAAGGACCCAGAATGTTATAACACATGACTCCATCAAAGATCATTTTCACATTAATAGCTCCCTCTGCTGTATGCAGGACACAACTTGGATTTATAGCTCTGGGGGTTTTTTTGTTTTTTATTTTGACTTGCTAATAGAAGACCTTTCACAAACACAAACACATTTTATTTGAATTTTTCAAAAAATCTACATGCATAATTACATTAAATGGATATTAAACATGTTTAAGAAATTACTGCGAATTGCATTTTTAAGTATGATATTTTAACCCAGATGGTTTGTCTCTGTTTCATTTGGAGCTACAACAACAAAGTTTTTTTTAAAATATTCTGTTGTTTAAAGTTCCTAGAAAGTATGGGACCATACCAGGTAAATAAGTAAATAAATAAATAAACATCAAAGTGATAAAAAATGAGGTTTAGAGCCATCCCATTTAGGTTTATGAATATAAATTATATAACCTATTACTTTACACCATGTTTCCTATTTTTACCCATGTTCTAGTATGCAAGATTCTATTTATCTAGTAAAATTGAAGGCTACATTATGTATGTGGCCTTTCCGCACCTTCTGCTTCTGTTTCACTGTTACCTAAACGCCATATGGAATATCTGTGAATTAACTGGAAGTCTGGGGTTCAGGTTTGATGTTTCGACTAAAAACAAGAAAGTTTGTGACTTGTTAGCAATAACCCTGTTAAACCTGGTGTCACAACTTTCTTTCAGACAAACAAACAAACAAACAAAAATCCTGATACCAGACCGTTTCGCCCTCTTATTCCCCATTCCAGTTAAAGTAAATGGTAGAACAGAAACTGCGTCTATCATGTCAGGCAGATTTCTAGTAAAGTTTGCCAAAGTCATGCGTTTTTCTGGACGGTGATCCTCCAACGTGTCCTACAATTCACGGCCCGTGCTGGATGCTCTCTGGGAATTGTAGTCCAGTTCGTCACTGAGCTACGTCTTTCTGGGCGCCTTTCGGGGAGGAAAAAACTACAAAATCAGCCGGTAGCGATAAGGAGAAGCTCCAAACTGAGCTTTTCTGTCTGCAAGCAGGCAGCCAAAATGTTGGCGACACTGTTTGTGCTGTTTTTGTTCTTTTGTAACCCAGTCTGCTGCGTTTTCCAGAAACTTTACTGCACCATATCGGACAGCTGCGACTGTGACTTTAAGCCGAATATTAGAGGTGAGACGTACTTGTCGATGCTAACCTACGGAGGCTACTTCGTGTTAGCAGCTAGCTTTGTACCAAAACAAAGTGCAAACAGCTTGTTAATGAAACCGTACTTTATTGTTGCTGTATTATACTACATGCGTTTCCTATAAAAAATATATCCGCTAACTGTTTTTTTAGTGTACAGTGTTCCCGAGGAGGCAATTAAGGCTTTCATTGTAGCTTATTCCTGCTTTTCTAACTGGTATGCTAGCTGGCTGAATACAAGAAATCTCTTACAATATCTGTAATTAAATTAGCTAGTTGTCTACTTTGCAGGTTTTTCATGATAACAGCCACGAGAAGTAGAATTTTCTTGCTCTGTTTTGTTCCTGAAGCTTATTCCTATAACCCTTTATTCCGGTTATTACAGGGCACCCCACCCCTCTAGTATTCCACGAAGAAAGATTGTGACTGTCCTTTTTTTCTGATCGCCAGACTTGGAGTGGGACCTCTACAAGAATGTCTATGGACAGCATCTGGCTCAGGACATTGTGTCAGAAGAGGTGGGAAGGTTCCTTCATAATAAAAGCCCCAGTCAGCCACTGGTGCTGTCTTTCCACGGCTCCTCTGGGACGGGAAAGACGCTGGTCAGCTCTATGCTGGGAAATCATCTGTACGGCTCAGCCATGAGCAGCCCGTATGTCCACCAGTTTGTCCCCACGCTGCACTTCCCCTTGCCCCACCGAGTCAAGCAGTACAGGGTATGTTGAGAAAGACAAATGGTTATATCTAAAATCTGAAGTAATGTACTAGTCGTTTTATTGTGTGTTCAATATAAAATGTTTGTTGACCATAACAAAGGGAAGTTTGAATGCTATCATTCCTAATGTGCAAACAGGACACTGCTTTCTTCTTAGGAACATACATTTAGAACTTACAAGAGAGTCCTGTGATTTTGCTCCCAATTTCAGGGAAGATGGGCTGGTCAAAACAAAAATGATCACACAAGTAGACACAAAAAAGATACTTGACTCATATGATCATTTTTGTTTTATGTTCAGCAGACTCTGTCTATAGACTTAACTAAGTGGGAACTAGTTAGTAATCATTTAATTATATACTAAAATTTCACAAGCGAGTGCCGCCTTTCAGACAACAGTATTTGCAGTTATACATGTTACACAGCCTATAATTAAGTAATAAAAGCAGAACAGCAGCAGACGTAATTAAAAGCATTGTTAGTTGCAGTCATAGGTGATGTGTTGGGAGCTTGTGAAATTAAATATCCATCCTTTGGTTTTGTAGGAGGAGCTGAAGGACTGGGTGCAGGGAAACCTGACGGAGTGCGCTCGCTCAGTTTTCATTTTTGATGAGATGGAGAAGATGCCTCCAGGCCTCATTGATGTCCTGGAGCCCTTTTTGGGTCCGTCTCATGTTGTATTTCGCACCAACTACCGCAAGGCAATATACCTCTTTATCAGGTACTTAACACTCCCCTAATGCAGTGAGACATGTCCAGTGTTTAGCTTCCTAAAGCACCAAGAAGGATCTATATGACACTAATTCTGCGGATATGAACTCTCTCCAAAAGAAGTTCTTGTATTCTCTTTGTCAAAATAACTTAAAGCTTTCATGAACAGTTAATGCTCAAAACTTTATTTCTCTCCCGGTGATGCTTAAAGAAGAAGGTTGTTTTTTTTATTTTTTTTATTACAAAGGGACAGGCAGCTTATTTTGTGTTTCTTGTGTGCAGCACTGCAGGAGAGGAGGTGATAAACAAAGTGGCTCTGGAGAACCGTCAGGCAGGACGAGAGAGAGAGGAGATCAAATTGGACAACCTGCAGGAGGCCATCGCACAGGCAGTTTACAACAATAACACAAGTAAGACTCATTTTACATGTTTAAGTACTCCACACTCTTAGGGTAAGGCGGTTTCATCCCAAACCGCTTCAGAGTTTGATTAAAGTTCAGTATTTTCTGTGTATAGGATAGAATAAAACCGAATAGAATGGCCCTTGTCATTGTACATGTACAACGAAATTGTGGGAGTTCTCAGCTGATCAACTGAGAACTGAATAAAATATAAATAATAGTAAATATAGTAGAAATAACAAAAAGGAGAAATGTAGACAAAAACAAGAGGAAGGCAAATATTAGAGAACAAGTTGCAAAGTGCTTGAAGTAGAAAAAGTAAAAGTAACAATAACCATGATAAAATATTAATGTTTTCTATTTACAGAGCACATAAAATGCTTTACAGATCAATACTTACGTTCAATAACATTTAAAGGGAGAAATAAATTAAAAAAGAAGTAACTGCAATCAAATTAAATGGGTCATAAACGCTTGGCCAGTAGGCTGTAGCCTCAGCACCAGATAACAGTCACATGAGAGCCTGGACAAAGACTCAGATTGTTGGGTAAAGGTCTCTTAGTTCAGATATGTAGCACAGAGAGAAGCCATGAAGGACCTTGAAATAGATCCTAAAATCAATTCTAAGTCGTACTGTGAGCCATTATCAGGAGGTTTAGGGAAAGGTGTGATGTGATGACTCCGGCTTATGTACAACCTGGATTTTCAGTTGGAGCAGGTGAAGATGTATGTTGAAAGTGTGAGAAGGTTAAGACATTTTAAATGCTGGTGTCAGGAGGTAAAAGAGTTTTTTTCATGTCAGTGTTCTTGCCTTGGTTTGTTCAAACACAGTGTTTTGTTTTTGTTTTTTTTTTACTGCATGTTCACTAGAAGAGGAAGAAGGCAGTGATACTGATGCTTTGGTGCTCTTCCAGAGCTAAAACTGGTCTTCTGACTTTGATTCATTTAAGTTAATCATGAATATAAAATTAAAGCCCATAATAGAAGCAGCATCATCGCTCTGCAGCAGTGCATCATAATGAACACAGAAATTAAGCAGCCTCTTTGAGCTAATTTTCCAGTGCATTGCTGATGAAAGCTTTCATTACTTCAGTAACTGAAGTGAGTTTTTAACCCCCCATTCAGGCGGCCTCTTCAAGTCCAACATCATTCAGCAGAAGCTCATCACCCGCTTTGTTCCCTTCCTGCCCCTGAGCCGATACCACGTCGAGCGCTGCGTGCACTCACAGCTCTGCCAGCGGGGCAGCTGCAGCCGCAATGACGTGGTGGAGGCAGTAGGGGGCGACATGAACTACACTCCAGCTAAGGGAAAGTACTTCTCCAGCACTGGCTGTAAGACTGTCCCTGCCAAAATCAACTTTTTCCTGTGAGCTGAGGGGAACTGGGTTTAACTTTTAGGACTGAAAGGGAAAATCTGAGAAAGATGCTCACATGCAGGTCAGAACAGCATCTGGAGGCTAGGATGCCCTGGGAGCATGAAATCAAGGGGAGTGGAACTCCTGACTGTCCGGATTTGCAATCAGTGAGTGTCTCCATGAAGGTATAGTTGGCGTTTTCTGACTTTTTCAGGAGTCATGCCACACTCTACCTCAAACCCAGCTCTACCTTTTAATTTTTATATATTTTTGTTGGTATGTTGTGGTTTCAGGTTTCAAAGGCTTCAACTGGAAGTCATTAATTGATGTTTTCTTGTTTTTAGGCTCATTATTTATCCAGTCTTAATTTATTCTTTGTCAACACCGCCATCCCTTCATGGTCACACTGATGAGGAATTGTCACAGGTGTCCAGAGCGGACTAAACAGCTGGAGGTTCTTTGCTGAGTGAGCGAAGACCTTTTTTGTTTGTTTTGTCTTCATTTCATTTTTCTAATATTTTTCCCAAAAGGGATCACACAAGATTGTTTTTATTTTGGGTAACATTTGTCAGCAATGGGATTTTTGCTAAGTGTTGACTTTCGACGATCATTATCCAAGTTTTTCACCCGGATGAAGCGACATATTTGGCTTGTGGCAAAGAGAGCTTGACATGAAAGTACACGTCATCAGTCGACTTATTAGAAAGTAGAATATATTTTAGGACTGAAAGATGTCACAGGATAAAGGAGCTCCTTTGCCAGATCATTTTAAAACAAATGAAAGAAGAAGAGATGAGTTTTACTTGGGGGGGAAAAAACAACAACTTGTGTGCTGCAGCCCTGCAGGCTCGATGCCATATTTTGGGAGCATGTGTCCACTTCTGCCATCAGGTGGCAGTAAAGACTTTGTTTTAGACAAGTGTAACGGAGGTGAAGCTGAGTTCACCAAGAGCTCAGTGCATTTTAATTCACTTACTCCCATGTGAGTGAGTTCTGTAGTGCTTTTATTTTGTTTCATTGCTTTAAACTGTACTGTAAAGGCAGCAGGTAGGGATGTTTTTAAAACACTGAAAGTGCACTTTATGGAGTATTAAAAAGACCTGGTGTTCTTTGTCAATTATGAAATATTGCCAAAAGTTTGGATTGTTTACACCAAATTACTAATTATAAAGTATTAATTTTTTCTTGTAATAAATTGCCTGTTAAATGCAGTGAAGAACAAGGGTAACGGAGTTCACAGGATGAAGATGAAATTCTTATCTTATCAGGGTGAAGGTTGACACACACAGAGGCTCGTGAAACTCAAGACGGCCGCAGGGATCAGCGTTCATTAGCTTTGCTTTCAGTACAGAAAAGTCTAATAGTCAAATCAAACGCCAGTTTTTTTTTTTTTGATTGATTTTTACTTTTTCCACTCAGCTTTGCTGTGTTGCTGTGGAGAAGGCAGACTCCAGGCTAAAACTCAGTCATGTTTTGTATGAAAATTTTTATGCCATCCATAATCGGCGACAGTTAGACTCCTCACACTACCACGGTTAATACAATCTCCACAACAAAACACTTTGGTTTTTGTCCTTGTTGTTTCTTCTGAGTTACACAAGTTTCAGGTCCAGCTTCTGAACATTCGTGACTGAAGCGTTTGAGGTATTGTGCACCTTTTACTGCTACAATGTAAAGCAAAAATAAAATGTAATGGCACAAGAAAGGTGTTCTGTGCCTTTTGTCCAGTATTTATTTAATAAAACAGGGAGATTTCTCTGTTTTCTTGCATTTTAATGGAAAATATTCTTTTTACTTCTGAGAATATCAACAAATATTTCTGGGACAACTTCACCAATTCCAAGGTGCATGGAGAAGATCAAACATCTGATGGCATGAAGACTCAGTTGATCCTGGTGAAGGCCACAAGCTGAAACGCGTTTGATCACCTAATAAAGTTGTTCCCATTACTTCTGTGAATATGACATGTAACTACAGCTTTATTTGTTTATTTATTTTTGATTCAGTTTTTTAACAATCACCAGTCTGATTTCAAAGAAAGATAGTAAAGGGTCCAATTACTTTTTAACCCTTTGGGTGCTTTATGTTGGATCAGGCAACTGGTCACTGCAGGACTCCAGGCCTCAAGCGACGGTGTCATGCAGGTTTTAGATCTCACCCTGGGTCAACACACCTGAATCCAATAATTACTTCGTTACCAGGCCTCTGGAGAACTTCAAGACATGTTGAGGAGGTACTTTAGCCATTTAAATCAGCTGTTTTGGATCAAGGCCCTGCAGGACACCGGCCCTTGAGGCCCGGCATTCCCCATTCTTTTGCTAAATTAATCTCCAGTTTCTTTCTTTTTTTTTCGCTTAACCAACTTGAAGTTACATTCATTCTTCTGTTTATCATTTGTGATTTATTTGCCACTGGAAACCCAAGTGCCCAGAGCGACTGAATCGAGAAGTTGTTTAACGTAAATACATTCGGAGTTCTGTGTTTCTCATTCTGAGATAATTATTCCTCCAATCATAATGACACTCATACTGAAAATGCTTAGTAAGACCCCACGACCACAAAAAACTAAGACATTTGCTGCCGCATTCATTGAAAAACTTTGAGGAGCAAAACCCCAAAAGGTTGATTTTGTTCATCCGGCCGTAACATTTTCAGTGGGAGAAAACGCTACGTCCAAGTGACTTCTTCAGTCTCAGCTGACTGCAGGAACAGAAACAACCTTTTGGGATTTACTTACCTGGATGATTGAGCATGCATCAAGACTTTGGGGGTCAAGACTGTGCATGAAAAAGCTGCTGTTAAATTTACTACACTGAAGATGCTTTCTAAAGATAAGTCACTGTTTTGTACAGTAATTACATATCCATAGTCTAACAGTTGAAATATCAAGAGACTGAAAGACATCTGTAAAACCTGCAGTGAAGTCAGTGTTCTTCACATAAAGCGGTTAACGACTGTTATTTGGTGTAACTCAACAAGTAGATAATGGTCATGTAATACAACAACATGTTCATTTAAAACTCATCCTTTCTCAACATTATCCAGCACTGAAAACTTTATAAAAGCCTGTTTTTCTGGTATTTTATTACAAATTGCTTCAAAAAGGGTGAAGCATGATTTTTTTTTTTTTATCCACCTGTCCTTGATTGTGAATGACTGGAGCTGCTGTGTATCAGCTCTCTGTACGAGATGCGATGCTGATTAGATCTCTGAGAAAGACGTAACTCTGATATCTCGTTGAGCAGGAAATTAATAGTTTCTCCATCGGAAATGAACAGGTGTCAGAGGTCTTCAGGAGGCTGTGTTTGTTCACTCTTTTCAGTCCGTGAAGCTACATTCTCACTTGTGTGGACATTTCTCTTAACTTACTTGTCATTAGATCCAACTCATTTACGCATGACACCTCATTTTTACACTGAGTTGGCACAGTGGGGTGGTACTTAGCACCATCCTCTCACAGCAGGAAGGTCCTGGGTTTGAATCCTTCCTGTGTGGGTTCTCTCTGGTAAAGACACAGTTGGGGTTAAATTGCATGGTGATTTTAAATTGGCTGTAGGTGTGAAAGTGTGAATGGTTCTTTGTTCTCTGTGTTAGCCCTGCGACAGACTGGGTACCTGTGCAGATCAAACCCCTCCTCTTGCCCTGTGAGAGCAGGGATAGGCTCCAGAATCATTCCGCATCCAGCTGCATTCTTTAATTGCCAACAGGGGGCGATACCCGTGTTTGCAAAAACATCTTCAAGTCCCACAGAAGTCTAAGGAGAAACAGGTCTTGGACTGAAAAAACTTTGATGATGGTTCTTGGGCTAAATCACTCATTTTATCTCACATGGTTATCATTTTCAAGTATCAGAAAGGAGAATTGTCCTGGGTATGCTCGTTAATTAACAATTTGAGATTCACAAGTCATTAGCCGGTAGATCTGTCCCTTGCTGTCACATCTGGTTTCAACACAACAGCGGCTCAAATGCACGAAGCCTCGAAACTGGAGTTCATTAACCAATAGGTGACAGCACTGGTGAGTGGTTCTTCATCACCATTGACCATTTTGTAAATTAAAATTTAACGATCAAATTCTGGACGTTTCACTGGAGAAACAAAAGGGAAGGCTGGTGCAAGATGGTCTTAAAATATGGGAAAGTATAAACTATTCAACAAATCACTGAATTTATAACTAACTCACATTATTTTATGTACAATTTGTGAAAAAGTTCTTGCATTGATTTCGATGTAAATATTGGCAATACTTCACAGTCCCTAGACTAGATGTTCCTGTTCATGTTGAGGCTGAGATTCTCATCCACCTAACCTAGACAATTATACCTGATAAACATAATCACATCAGCTGATATTAGTATTTAGGTAAAAGCACCACCCCATCAGATTTCTTATCTACCCTCTATTGGGACACTGAGTAGCATATAAATAAAAAAAACAATGCAATAATTTGCAAATCTCATAGATGCACATTTTAATCACACAAAAAAAAAGAAAATATATATTTCAAAAGAGCTAGTTTTGAGTTTGATGGCAGCAAGATGTCTCAAAAAAGTTGAGACAGGGACAGCAAAATGCTGTAAAAAGTTGGTGTTACTTAAAGAAAACCGCTGGAGGAATATCGTGTATTTAACTGGTAACAGGTTAGGATAGATGGAGATTAGTAACATGATTGGGAATGATACGAGCAGTATAAAGTATAAAATATCTCATCACCTACAGTACATGATATCAAATGAGTCAGAGATTGTGTAATGGATAAAAGTTTGGAACCTAAATTGGATGCCTGTGATCTTATGGCCTGCAGGGCAACACTGGATTAAAAAACAGGCATGATTAATTCATAGAAATCATTGCATGGGCTCAGGAACACTTCCACCAATCTCTGTGAACAGCTCATGGAGCCATCCACAAATGCAGAGCAAAGCTCCATTATATATGGAAGAAGTCATATCTGTACAGATCTCATTCTCTGGCCCAAAGCTTGTTTAATATCAACTGAGGCAAAGTGGAAAACAAGGATGCACCATCCTCCAGACTAAAGAGGAGAGTGGCCTTCTGGCTTGTTAAAAGCACTCATACTATCATTAACAGTATGGTTTCAAAGTAGAAGTATTCAGTGTTCTTACTTTAAAGTTTTGATATGTTTTCTATATTGTGAATAAAATAACTGTTTATGAGATCTGTAACAATTGTATTTGTTTTTCTTTACATTTTACACTGTCTGACCACTTTTTTTGGAATTGGCTTTTTCTAAATCCTACCACACAGTCGCCTAAACATGAGATTTAAAAATGAACCCTGGAGTCAAAACTCTGGGGTGAAAGTTATTTTTTAAAATTGACATCTTCATATGTTCATTTCAATTCAGTTTTATTGTGTAGCGCCCATTTTGCATGTGTGGACATGTGTTGCGTTTTCTCTCTGCTGCCTTAGGTACCGCATCTTACAGCTAAACACATTCAGTAATTAGATAAGGGAGCACGAGAAAGAAGAGCACTCCAGCGCCAGAATACCTTTGTTGGTAGTGTGTGTGAGCAGCACTGTGCTTTGGGTTAACGTCTTGAGTTTCTCTTTGTGCGACAGACTTCTAGATTTTGTTTGTCTTTATTTTAGGTAAACCAAACAGATGTAAACGGAAACTACCTTTATCCCCACACTGCATTTTCACACATTCACGCCGTGGTATGTGTCAACACGACGTGTAGTTACGTTTCCTGGGAGGGAGGTGCACGTCAGGTTTCGACGTAGAGTTAAAATGGGGTCCCGTCATGATGTAAATAATGATGATCTGACACAGAAGTATAGTTTATCTGTTTAAACAACACCTGGCAACTGTAGGGAGGAAGAACTCCCTTTAAACACGAAGAGGCAGAACTAGGCTCAGGGAGGGGCAGCTATCTAAAGTGACTGGTTAGAGTGTGAGCAGAAACTACACATAAATTCATGGGAAAACTGGAGGAGAGGTGCATTACTGGAAGTGTCTGATTTTTACCAGTATTCCCAGATGAAAGAAGGCAGACTTATTTGAATGAAAGAACATAAATTAATCACAAATCACCAAAAATATTCATTACAGAAGAACTGTAGGTCATGTTGGTGTCATCCAAAGTAAGAATCGTGGTGCACGGTGCTTCTGAGATTTGAGAACATGGTCGTTTCTCAAACATAATGAAGCAGTTTGGTTGTAGATTCATGTTAGGAGATGAGGTTGGCGTGAGACAAAATTCGGTTTAAATATTGTTTCTTCATTTTGTTAGATTTTACTCTCTTGAGCAACGAGATGTGCTTGAAGTATGCACCCCAAGAAACGTCAAGTTAAACAACATTAGAGTCAAGTTTGTCATTTAAATGTCAAATTTTGAGCCAAGGCCAATGAAAACTTTTCAGATGCTGCCAGATTTACTACAGATTACTGTAGCTTGTTTTCTCAGCCAACTTGGTTTCTTTGGAGATGCCCAACTGCCATTTTTCTCACCTGCTGGAGGTGACCGACCAAACAGGAAACCAGCCAAAACCTCCAAACTTCAGTTTCCTCTCTGCTTGATGAAATTTTGGAAACATCTCCTCATCCTTTCAAAAGGCACCAGGCTGCCTCCTATATATGCCACATCTCACCACGACCCTGCTGTGATGACTTCATCAACCCCCACCCTCTGCTCTCCGCCCTCCACCCCACCCACCAATAGCACCACCACACAGGCTGTGTGAGGAAGAGGAGGGGTTCAAAGGTCAGCTTAGAGGCCTCTTCACCCCAGCTGCTGTTGCTGTGTGCTGCCATCTATGCAGTTCAGGACAATGAGAGACGCAGGGAAAGAAAAAGCCAGGATGACCGTAACACACACACACACACACACACACACACACACACACACACACACACACACACACACACACACACACACACACACACCGCGACCTTTGAGCTTTTTTTCACACGGTCCCAGTAGAACAGCTGGACAAGCCTTTATTTTTTCCTAGGTAAGAGTAGTGTAGTTGTATTAATTTATTCTTCTGCAATTTAATGTTGTGCTCCACCCCCAACCTCCTATTCACCACATTTACTTCCTCCCTCTTTTTATCCTCTTCCTCCTCTCTGCTCCGCCATCAAAATCTGTGTAAAAAGTAACTTTCACCTCACACTTTACCTCCTCACCCCTCGCCAACCCTCCCTTCTTCCTTCCTTCCACCAGAGCTGGGTGGTGACGGTGGCGGGGGCAACAATGGGACGCTGCTCCTTCCTCCCCCCTCCCTTTGCACCACCACATCTGTGAGTGCCCCTCTGTCTTCTCATTCTTCTCCCTAACCGCTCCATTATTAAGCCTCTTTCACTTGTAAATGTGGCCAGCGATACTTCTGATGGGTCTTTTATGCACGCGGCCGGGGTCAGGAGAAAGGTAGGGGCCACAGTGGAGGGAGGGGGGTGGGTCATGGTTGAGGGTGGCGAGATGGTGGAGGGGCAGTGGATTCAGGAGTCTTGTGCTGTTTTGTTTTTTTTTCCTCCCTTTGCAGGCCGGAGTGTGAGGGGACAATTGTGACAAAGAGTTAAATCCTTTTTTGTGTGTGCAGTCATTTGGGACGGTTGGGACGGGCCTGCATTCCTGCAGCCGGCTGTCCCCCCAGTAGGATGGAGAGGAATGGGACGGCATGTAGGAATGAGGTGTAGGAATGACCAGAGTGAGAGCTCACTCAAAAGTTGCACATGATATTTCAATAAATTTGTGTGTGTAGAATCATATGCAAAAGTTCATAGATTTTAAAAGGAAATATAATTGTGACCACGCTGGCTTCTATCAACCTTTAAATGTAATGGGAAAAAAATATGGAATAACCGTCATTTTAGTAATCTACTGCCTGAAGTTTGACTTCCAAACATATCTGATCTTGTACAGTGTACAATACTGCAGCTTCAGCATTGATTTATATTTAGACAGCAGCAGCACTCGGTGAAGACACCAAGTGTTTGACATCTAACCGAAACCATAAAGTTCAAACACATGATGTAATGATCAAGAAAGAAAGAAGCCTGCCAAAGCAAGTCCGACCCCACGGACTCCCATTTAAAAAAAAACAGCTTTACCAGAGAAGTAAACATGTTTACTGTAGCCAGTATCCCCCAGTATTATAGCTGGTATACAAAGCAGGTTACAGGAGAAGAGATGTAGATATTTTGATTAACAGGTGTGTTTGAAACACAGGTAGCTCCAGCTGCAAAGTACACTCAGCTAACTGAGTAAATGGTCTGTACTTGTATAGCGCTTTACACATCCAGTCATCCACCCATTCGTGATGGCTAGCTATATTGTAGTTACAGCCACCCTGGGGCGCACTGCTGGACACTGGCGCCACCGGGCCCTCTGACCACCACCAGTAGGCAACGGGTGAAGTGTTTTGCCCAAGGACACAACGACCGAGACTGTCCAAGCCGAGGCTCGAACCGGCAACCTTCCGATTACAAGGCGAACTCCCAACTCTTGAGCCACGATCGAGTAACTGAGATGGACCGCTACATATTCTGCTAAAGTCTCTTAAAGGAAATTTACTGCAACTATGTGACCAATAATCTGGGTTGTTGTGAGATTAATTGTATTCACAACCATTCAAGAAGTGTGCGTTGCCGTCAGTGTAATTTTAGTTGTTGTTTTTTTCAAGTCAAGTCAAGTCAAATTGCTTTATCGTCATTCCAACCATGTGCAATGGTACAGTACACAGCAAAACAAGACAACGATCCTCCAAGACCATGGTGCTACATGTGACATAGGCAATCAACACAGGGCTACATAAAGTGCAAGTGTGCAAAAATTACAAAAAAACCAAAACAAAGACAGTGCAACACCAGACAGAACAGAACGATACAACAACGACACAGGTTACGCATGTTACTCATCACTAATTAGGAAGTATCTGTGTCTTTGCTGCATTCATGACATTTGTTGATGAAGAACCGAACTTGGTAGCATTAGCTGACAGCTAAGCACTACAATGGTCTCAATATAATCACTTTTGACGTTCTAGAGTCATAGACAGTGGTTAATAGGTACCGTAAATAAATAGCATTGGTAGTTACCAAGATAATGTTTCTGTAAGCGTCACTTTACCATTATGTACAAGCTCTATAATCAAAATAATATTTTAATGCTAAAATACAATTGCTGTCATTATCAATGAATTTTAAAATGTGCTGTTTTACAAAGAAGCTGTAAAAAATGGCAAAGAGCTAATTTTGTTGTTAAATTACTTTTGTTTACTTGCATTCCTGAACAGAATATTTTCATTTTAATGGTGGAATGCTATATTTAATTAATTACCGACTTAGCCAAATTTAAGCTGCCACTAACTTGATTTTTGTTTGTTATTTGCCAAATAAATAAGTTTTAAACAAGTTGACAGATGTCTGAAATACGGTCGAATACATTTTTTAAGCACTGCAGCTTCTGGATCAGAAAACCTGCCACCAGATGTTGTGGTGCTGACAGCTGTGGTTTAGTGAAAAAGCCTGCAGAAGCTTTCCTTCATCAAGTTAATATGCTTTTGCCAACTAAATATTTGTCAAATTGCTGCCTGGATCAGACTCACTAGCAATTTTTATTTTTCTCTTCCAGAAAAAGTCACATTCTTGCGTCTTTCTGAAGTCATGGTGAGATGCTAGAAACAAAGTCTCAGAATTTAACATTTAACAAAGTGTCTCCAACCCCAGAAAACCCAAAAACTAGACAAGAACAGCAACCTGTGCAGAACAATTTACAACCACAGCTGTCATTCTAATATAATTATTTACAGCTTGCAAGGTGCTACAGTCCTCTTTACAATAGGAACGGTGATCCAACCCAGCTTCTCCAGTTCATCTCAATGGACAGCAAACACAGGACTGGTTGGTGGGGTGTATACACACACTAGACAATATGGTGGGGACACGAAAGGAGAATGGAATGTACCATTCAGTAACCTGTAACAAAGCTTACAGCAGACTAGACTATCATTTCGAGTCCAACATTTTGATTATACTTGATATATCTGGTGACATTTTTGCCAGCCTTGGCAAATGTAAAATACTACTTTATTAAACAGATATGGTTCCTTTACACAGAAGGTGCTCTTTGATGGCAGATCATGACATGCCATATAAAAAAACTTGTGTCAGTACCTCCTAAATTTTCACGCCACTAGATAACTCTTTTAATCTAACTGCTTCATCCCAAAAGCATAATCTTATTCCTAAACCTAACCTAAGGTTCTTTTTTGTCAGGTTGAAATCAAAGGTTGACCCAATGCAGACCAAAAACAAACAGGAAAAGCAACTAAATGAGAACAAATCCAAAATGCACAGGCTCAGACAAAGAGGAACAAAGGACTATTTATACACCGAGGAGTAACCAGAGACTAGAAACAAACAAACAGATGAAAGTAATCAAGACAACAATCTATCAACCAATCTACTAAAGTAAAAAAGGTCACAACCTAAAACACCTGTTCCTAAACATGGAGACAAGAATACTCCCATCAAACACGAAAACACGATGAAGGGAACACAGAAGGACAAATGCATAAACACAGAAAGCGAGAAAGGACAAATGAAAAGGGAAACACTGAGGGAACTAAACACTGTAATAAAACTAAAGTTAACCATCCAAGAATACTAAAGAAGAAAAAAATCAGGAATAAAAATAAATAAATCTCACTTAAAATCAAAACGTCAAACATAACAAATATGGTCAAACCTAAGCAGAAACCCAAACTTGAATATATTAACTAATAATTCAGAAGGAAATAACACAATGTTTGAGATCAAAGCATGTTTTTGAGTGCCTAATGAGCATGGGGAAAAAACTAAACAAAGTATTCCAACCAGCTGGTCGACCAACCAGCAATTTATGTAGCTGCCATCACTCTGATCTCTCAGTGCATAGTAAATGACAGTTGCTGTTAATCTTACTGTCTGCACACAGCTACTGTCCCCA